GAAACCCCCAAAGCAGTACAGAAACACATGTTCCTTGTAAGGACAATGTAGACATGATTTCTGTATTTTGTTTTTTTTGGGGGGTTTCTTGCGCAAAATAGTCGTTCCGGTTAAGATACTAGCCTGTGAGCACATGAACCCTCAAAGGATTTGGGGCTCATAGACCACAATAGGAATGATGATGGTACAGCGCATAGGACTGCCGTTTCTCCACCCGAAAGCCTAAACCCTAGGTCCCCCACTTTAGGGTGCATTTGGTTCCCAGAGTTCCGACAGGCTCATGCCTTGCAACTTCGCACGAGGCTGAAGAAACGAGCTGTCTTCACTTCGTGGCGACTTAGGGCTTAGGAAAGCCATCATGCTGGCAGCGTTCCACGAATATTAACAGGGCCGCGCGTAGCCATCATCATCGAGCCGTGGCGCCGTGTCTGCTGGCGATGTCCTTCTCAGCGCCCGCCTCCGCCAGCAAACGTACGACTGCAACATGGCTTTTGGCGGCCGCGATCGACAGGGCCGTCAGACCGACATCGTTGGAAGCATCCTTGTCGGCGCCGGCCTCCACCAGCAATCGCACGACTTCAACATGGTCACACGTAGCCGCCATCATTAGGGCTGCGCGACCATCGTTGGAGGCTATTTCCTTGCCGGCGCCGGCCTCCACCAGCGAACGAGCGACCTCAACATGGCCACTCATAGCCGCTATCATCAGGGCTGTGCGGCCATGTTTGCTGGCAAGGTCTTTGTCGGCGCCGGCCCCCACCAGCAAGCCCACGACTTCAACATGGCCCTTGTCAGCTGCCACCATCAGGGGTGTGAGGCCATCGTTGCTTTCCACTTCCTTGTCGGCGCTGGCCTCCAACAGCAAACGCAGGACTTCAACACTGCCATTGGCAGCCGCCACCATCAGGGGTGTGCAGCCAGTTTTGCAGGCAAGGTCCTTGTCAGCACCGGCCCCCAGCAAGAAACGCACGAAATCAACATGTCTTCTGGTGGCTGCAATCGACAGAGCTGTCTGTCTGATACTGTTGGTTGCATCCTTGTCGGCGCCGGCCTCCACCAGCGAACGCCCAACTTCAACATGGTCACTTGCAGCTGCCATCATCAGGGCTGTGAGGCCATCCCTGGACATCTCATCTTTGTCTGCGCCACCCTGCAACAGCAAGTCCACAACTTCAACATGGCCGCTTCTGGCATCATTATGGCCACTTGCAGCCACCATCATCAGGGCTGTGAGGCCATCGCTGGCGGCCAAGTCCTGGTCAGCGCCAGCCTCCACCAGCAAACGCACGACTTCAACATGGCCACTCGTAGCCGCCACCATCAGGGCTGTGCGGCCATTTTTGCTGGCAATGTCCTTGTCAGCTCCGGCCTCTAACAGCAAACGAACCACGTCAACATGGTTTTTGGCAGCCCACCTAAACCCTAACCCCTGAACCCTAAACCCTACAAAACACAAAACCCTAAATCCCCTCGTTCCCTTTCTAGGTTCATAGAGTTCCCAAGGTACGGCCACATTGGGGTCCAGGGGCAGCAGTAGCATGGACTCGACCTACCGGCATGCTAGCGCTTAGGGTTTAGAGTACTTTCGGGTTTCTAGGGTTTCTAGGGTTTCTAGGGTTCTATAGGGTTTTAGGGTTTAGGGCTTTATGGAATACAGGGTCCTACAACAGCCAACCACAACGCCAAGGATGACGATGAGGATGAAGTCGGTGATGGTTATGATGATGTTGAGGATGCGGAGGCGCCGGGGGGAGGGAGGAGGAGGGAGGGAGGAGGGGTGGGAGGAGGGAGGGAGGAGGGAGGAGGGAGGGAGGAGGGAGGGAGGAGGGAGGGAGGAGGCAGGGAGGAGGCAGGGAGGAGGAACTGGGTTTAGGGTTTAGGGTTTAAGGTTTAGAGTGAACAGGCACTGATGTTGGAAACATGCTTGCATCTGTTGACTTCAAATTCACTCGCATTATGTATGTATCAACTAAGTGCCCAGTGATCCTGGACACGCCCCTAAACTGGCCCTAAACCCTAAACCCCTAACCCCTAACCCCCACCCTAAACCCCGCCTCTTTCACTGAACCGTTTCTGGCGGCAGCTATGAGCTCGCGCGCTTGCTTCTCAGAAGTGCTGGAGAAAGGAAGCACGACGAGTTCAAGGTCTACGGGGGAGTCGAGCTTGAACCCTAAACCCTAAACCCTAAACCCTAAACCCTAAACCCTAAACCCTAAACCCTAAACCCTAAACCCTAAAAGGCGCCGTTCAGGATGAGCTGTTGCCGGAAGCGCGGAGGAAGGTCATGTAGCCGGTGCAAGAGCCGCTTCACTTCCCTCACGCTGCTCGCTTCCTCCAGGGGCAGGCTTGTCAGCTCCTCCCCGGAGAGCATGCGGATGTGTAGCATCCTGGAGGGAAAGCCCTGAATCGGACTTTTTGGTTCGAATCAAAGTTGGGCTTCAGAGCCGAAAATCCTGCGGATCAAGTTCGGTGCTTCATCTTCGAAACACGCAACAAGACAGGAGCTGCTGGCGACTTTGTATGACATAGATGCCCTCTGCACCATGGGTGAGGACGACCCCAACACGCACACACACACACACAACAAAAAAAAAACAAACCCTAAAGACCCTTGCAGCCAACACCCCGAAACGCCCGACCCCTTATCACTGAATCACTGGCCTGCGATCATGCCTGGAACTCGAAAGTCTGTAGGGTTTAAGGGTCGGTAAGGTCTGCAAACCCCAAAGACGTGCAAGACAACACAGGTACTCTTAAAACCCCTTTCTTACCCGTCCCGTACATATATATATATATATATATACATATATATATATATATATATATTAATACACACACACACACACATATATATATATATATATTTTTTTTTTTCTACAGTTTTGCCTGCCTCAGGTACCCTGGCTACACCGGAGGGTTTAGAGGTTTAGGGTTTAGGGGCCTCCCAGGGCAAATAGAAACTGCAAAAACGCTGTACTGTCCCAATCTTTTCGGCTCAGAGGAGTAAAAACGCTGTACTGTCCCAAAAAAAAGGGTCTCCAGCTCAAAGATTGGGACAATTCAGTGTTTTGCGTCTGTGTCCGAAAAAATTCGGGACAGTACAGCACATCAAGCTCTCCAGGTGCAGAAAACGCTGTACTGTCCCAATGTTTGTGGGTCCAGGCATGCAAAAATGTTGTACTGTCCCAATGTTTTTGGGCCCAGGCATGCAAAAACGCTGTACTGTCCCAATCTTTTAGGCTCAAAGAAACAAAAACGCTGTTTTGTCCCAAAAAAACAAAAAAAACAATATTTTGAGGGTCTCCAGCTCAAAGATTGGGACAGTACAGGGTCTTGGCTTTTCTGAGCCTGAAAGATTGGGACAGTACAGCACTTCAGGCTCTCCAGGTATAGAAAGCGCTGTGCAGTCCCAATGTTTTTGGTCCAGGCGTGCAAAAACGCTGTACTGTCCCAATGATTTTTGGGTCCAGGCATGCAAAAACGCTGTACTGTCCCACAAAACTCAAAAAAAACAATCTTTTGAGGGTCTCCAGCTCAAGCATTGGGACAGTACGGTGTTTTTGCTTCTGTGTCCGAAAAAGATTGGGACAGTACAGCACTTCAGGCCTTCCAGATAAGAAAACGCTGTACTGTCCCAATGTTTTTGGTCCAGGCATGCAAAAATGCTGTACTGTCCCTATCTTTGACCCGGAGACCCTGAAAAGATTTTTTTTGAGTTTTTTGGGACAGTACAGCGTTTTTGCTCCTCTGAGCCTAAAAGATCGGGACAGTACAGCACTTCAGGCCCTCCAGGTGTCGAAAACACTGTACTGTCCCAATGTTTTTGGGTCCAGGCGTGCAAAAACGCTGTACTGTCCCAATGTTTTTTGGGTCCAGGCATGCAAAAACGCTGTACTGTCCCAATCTTTGAGCTGGAGACCCTCAAAAGATTGGTTTTTTGAGCGTTTTGGGACAGAACGGTGTTTTTGCTTCACTGTCCCAAAAAGATTGGGACAGTACAGCACTTCAGGCCTTCCAGGTGTACCAATGGGACTCCTATAAAAAGTGTGAACCCTTAAATAATCGGAATCCTACTAAAATCACTACCAGTATGAGCCTAAACCAGTAGGAACCCCATCCACATGAATGAGATCCCTATTAAAAATGAATACGAATCCCATTAACATGAGTAAGAGCCCTGAAATTGATAGGAATCTTGTTGCATGAGTAGGAGCCTTATGAAAAAACAATTAGAAACCCTATGAAACTTTATTGGAATCCTATGATAATACGTAGGAACCTTTCATTGAATTCATACGAATCCTATCAAATTTTGTTCGGATAAAAGCTCTTGGGAGTGATTTCTTAACCACGTTCAAAAACTGACATCTTAACCGCGTCCTTTTTTCTCTCTAACTGCGTGCGTCTGTGGCGGTCTAACCGCGTTGCAGCACGGGCTGAACTTGTATGACATAGCCGTGCGTGCGTCTGTGGCGGTCTAACCGCGTTGCAGCACGGGCTGAACTTTTATGACATAGCCGTGCGTGCGTCTGTGGCGGTCTAACCGCGTTGCAGCACGGGCTGAACTTTTATGACATAGCCGTGCGTGCGTCTGTGGCGGTCTAACCGCGTTGCAGCACGGGCTGAACTTTTATGACATAGCCGTCACATAGCCACATTGACATCAAATTGCGGGGTTTAGCGCTATGAGAGTTTATGGACTTTCATCTAAACCCTAAAACCCTGTTTAGGGACTTAGGGACTTTCATCTAAACCCTAAAACCCTGTGGCTGGGTGAGGCAGTGCTCCGTTGACTGCTCACCTGCTCTGAACCCGACTTCGTGACATAAGTGTGCCACAGTTGTTGCATTGCTTCTGCTGCAAGTAATCATGACAAAGGCAGGGAGCTGCAAGCCTTGTGCTAGGCATGCGTGGTCCAGGATCTCTTTGTGTCTGACTAAAGAAGGACAGCGCTAGCCAGGCAGGGCTCACGGGGCAGTTAAGGAATCTGGCTCCTGGAACTACTTGGCGCTCATTCGTTGCTTCTTCGCCAACCGCTTCTCGTCCAGAGCAGCTTTTTTTTTGTCTTTGCGACGCTCCATCTCCGCCGGACTGCGTTTGTGGCCGCGCAGAGCCTCCTCCGACTGGCCGATGCAAACCACGAGTGGGTAGTGGCTGTCTTTGTCGGTTTCCTTAAACGGTTGAACTCAAGGAGAGAAAGCGGGGAAAAAAAGGGAAGCTAGCGTACGATACAAACAGCCAAGACTCTTTAAGACCAAAAGCCACCACGGCTGCTGCATCTAATTTGTCTGCGCGCTTTTTCATTAAAAGCGGCTCAGTGTTGGGCCAGTTCAAGATTATTGCAGCAATCTCTGGCGAATGCCCGTGTTGCAGTTGGTATGAGAAGCCCGTCACTGAAGCAGATATGGCTTGAAGAGACTCCTCTAGGAGCCCCGAAGCTTGATTGAAGTCGCCACCTACAAGACGAATCTTGTCTCGCCGACAGAGACGCCAGAGTGAAGCCAAAACGTATCGAACGCTGTCTGGCTTTTTTGCAGCCGAACTCTCATAGTGAAGTGACATCACCCGAACGAAGTCCAGACCAGCGCGCCTCAGAAAAGTACCATCCTGCAAATGGTGCCAACTAACAGCGCCGCCGTGGAAACGAATGGCATGTCTGCCACTCTGGGCCCATGGCCTAGGGATCAGTCCGTCGTGAGCCGGGTATAGGCTCCGTACAGACTTTCGACCAGAACCACCAGCTAAGATGCTCGTCAATGCATGAGGTGACACACTGCAAGCCATTGCTCGCAACTTTGCAAGCATGGAGTATACCGTTCCGGCAGCCTCTTGCATCAAAACAAGGTGATTGTTCCGTGTAAGATAATCGCAAAGTTTTTCCCCTTGGACTTGACGATCCATTGCTCCAAAATTAGCCACCAGTAGCATCAGATGCTCGCTTCCCCCCGCTCCATCCAGCAGCTGCCTCAAACCACCGCGATGCGAATCCGAGCCGGAGCTGTGGTCCAGAATCCCGCTGCCCGCCGGCACAAACGTTATAGATCCACTGGATCTGGCAGCAGTATGGTCTTCGGGTTCATACCCAAGACCTTGATGCCCGCGACGCATGACGTGAGCACGGATGTCTGCCTCGCGCATCTTCTCGTCGGATTGTCTGGAAATATGAGAAGCCTGTAAGAGATTGCCAGCACTGCCATGCGCAGACGGCGGTGGAGGCGGATGCCACGTTGCATCGAACGCCACATCGTCCGAAGTGTGGGCCATGCTGTGTGAGCAAACCTACTTATAAAACAAACTGTTACGTACGGCAAGGGCCCATGCGCGAAGTTATTTTAACAACCAATGCAGTGAAAGAACGCCTGTCATATGGTGATATTATCATTAGCTGTAGAAGTCAAAGATCTGCGAGATGTAAATGCGCATGCTGTCGTGGCGTGAACAAAATGTAAGTAACACAATGCACTTGTTCCCCTCCCCTTCCCCCCTGTCGGTACTGGGCCACACCTGCAGCCGCTGACCGGTCTGGCATTTACAAAATGCAAGTAACATGCACTAGCTCCCCCCCCCCCCATGTCGGCACTGGGCCACACCTGCAGCCGCTGACCACTTGGGCATTTACAAAATGCATTGAACACAATGCGCTAGTTCCCCCCCCCCCCCCCGTGTCGGTACTGGGCCACACCTGCAGCCGCTGACCGCTTTGACATTAACAAAATGCAAGTAAAACAATGCAGTAGCACCCCCCCCCCCTGTCGGTACTGGGCCACACCTGCACCGCTGACCGCTTTGGCATCTACAAAATGCAAGTAACACAATGACCTGGTCCCCCCCCCCCCCCCCGTGTCGGTACTGGGCCACACCTGCAGCCGCTGACCGCTTTGGCATTTACACAACGCAAGTAACACAATGTACTAGTTTCCCCCCCCCGCCACTGCGAAGGCTAGTCCACCTGCAGGCCACGGGCTGGATGAGTCCCGGGGTAACCTGGGGGATGCCACCTACCAGCTCCCTGGCGGCTCAGTGGTACCCTTTTATTTGGGCTCAGGGCTTAGGGCCTAGGGCTGAGGCTTTAGGGTAACAAAAACAAAAAAAAGAAGTGCCCGCATCATATGTTCATACTCTTGCTTCTTGGGTTCAAGGTTCCGTCTCAAGAAAGCACTCCAACGACAAAGGGGGGGGCCCCTATCAGAACCCTTAACCCTAAACCCTAAACTAAGGCTGCCTTATAATAAGGCACTTTCCTGCCCAGCGCGGCCACAGAGATGATGGTCTTTTCCGTGAGCCAGGGCTCCGAATACTCACAGCCAGCCGCGTGGCATCCCTCCCAACCGCGTCGTATCCTCCCCAACCCGCGTGGCATCCCCCCCAACCCGCGTGGCGTCCACCACCACTCACTTCCCCCGCCAGCCGCGTCGTATCCCCCGCCAGCCGCGTCGTATCCCCCGCCAGCCGCGTCGCATCCCCCGCCAGCCGCGTCGTATCCCCCGCCAGGCGCGTGGCATCCTCGCCAACCGCGTCGTATCCCCCCCGGCGGCACTGGCGGTAGCCATTTAAATTATTTTATGTAGATGACCTTTTTAAAATGGGAGAAGAAACTCGAGGTCTTCAAGAAGGCAGGGTGCCTTTGGCACCGGCGGGGCTCTAAGCACGAAGAAAACTCCAAGCAGTCACCATGCCTTTGGCATCAACCAGAAAGTTCCACAATCCAGTTGGTGGGATCCCATCGCTCCCCGCTTTTTTTTGCGGATTTGCACCCGCTGACTTTTGGCCAGAGCTTCCAATGCCTCCCTGATATGTCTATGAGCGTCCTTGACGGTGCGCACTCCCGCCGACACCGGTGCGTCCGCTATCCAGGTCGATACAGGCAGGGACTTTATGGCCTTCCGCCCAAGCATCCCACAAGTCCCCGCCCCGAACCCCCCGGCGCTATTATGCCGCGAGGTCTTCGAAACGCATGTTCTGTCAACAGAATTGGCCAGAAAAAAGAAAAGCCGACAGAAGCCCACCTTGGTCACCTTCCACATGTGCGTGAAGTGCTCGTGGGTCTGGCCACTTCCATCCTCTGATCCTGAAAGCAACGCGCGTGTTTTGTAGACACGTCTATTAGTCTCAAGCTTAAGACATGAGGCCTGCATTCAACACGCAAATCGTCTTGCCAGCGTCTGGCTCACCCCACACTTGCATCGGCTGTAAAGGCCTGGCACCGAAGCATACGTTGCAGGTAGCCCTGTCCGCAGAACACACACGTGGCAGCTTCGCTCAGCGCAGGTTCCAAACTGGTACAGCTGCATGTTGTTGTCATCCAGAACATCAAGAATGTCCTCTTCGCCTTAAAAATACATGGACAGATCACCATTGACTGACGCTCCGTGCTGCTGGCAACTGCTGGCAAGGCACGCGGTGATCGGCCGGAAGCAAAAGCACTTTTGCCCGCATCAGTCAGGACCAGCGAGCCTATGAAGCTCTCAAGCATCTGCTCCTGCGTCGGATCTTGAGAATGAAGAAATTTTGCTTGAGCTAGCCGTGGTCCTCTTTGTGCTTCCGGCTTGCATCCAACGGCCAGCCATCGCGCCGCTCTGCGGACCTCCATGCCGTCTTTTCATCCTCCGACAACGAGTCTACGAGCAGGACCCAGAAGAAGCAACGACCGTCTGGAGGCACGTAAAGTAGGACGAAGTCCTGCAATGCGCATGTTTGGCTCGGCTTTGATGTTATAAGTGACAACACAATTGCGGATGCCTTGCCGAACTTATCATCAAGCATCCACTGCTTCGCCATCATGGGCCGAGCTGCATCTCGAGCCCAGCGGCTCGTGGTTCGGAGAATAAGTGAGCGTGGTTAGGACAATGCATGCTGGTGGTTAGGAGAAATCCAGGACTAGGGTTAGGACAGAAATGTTGGCATGGTTAGGGCAAATGGTCTTCCTGGTTAGGACGAAAACTCTTCATGGTTAGGAACGCCCCTCCGGATAAAAGCTAATAGGAAGCCGATTAGAATGAAAAGGAACCCTTAACAAATCAAAAAGAACGCTTGGTAATTCATAGGACTCCTACTAGACTGAGAAGGTGTCTTACTAAGATTAATAGGAAGTAATAGGACTCCTATGAAAGAATAAGATTCCTTTAACAAGAATTAATAGGAATCTGAGCCTAACCAATAGGAATCAAAGTTTGTAGACCTCCAGGCCACTTGGCGTCCAAGGTCTCTAAACTTTGTTTTTTTTTGGTTCTTTTGGGACAGTACAGCATTCTTGCTTGTGTTGGCTTGAAAGGGTTGTTTTTTTTGAGACAGTACAGCGTTTTTGCAGTCCCAGGACTCCAAAGTGCTGCACTGTCCCCAAAAAAAACAATGTTTTTAAAGCAACCAATGTAAAGTTGATGCAAGGTACCTCGACTGCATCTGGAGATGTCTGGGCAGCAAAAAAAGTAGTAGATCATGCTTTTTGTGTGTAAAACACGCTGGTACACGCGAAAACGTGGGCCTATTGGGGGGAGGGGTAGCATATTTGTATATATGTATATGTATATGCATATGTACATATAAATATATATAGAGACATAGATGTATGCTTTTCTTTCGCTATATGTATTTACTTGTATTTCTTTATTATATTTAAAAGTTTCTTGTTGTTAGTATTATTGTTACTTTTATTATCATTGTTATTCTGATGATGATGATGATTATTGTTATTATTAATATTATCATTATTGTTATCATTGTTATTATTATATATGCTCATTTCTACCCCAACAGGGGCCATAGCACAAACATCATATATACATGAATATGACTAAAAAATGAGCTTTAACAAAAAAGAATATATATATATATATACATATTATACATGAGCCCCCTTTGGCTCGAGGGGTAGATGGGGAGAGAGAGGGGAGCAGCAAGAAGATGAGGGGCGGAAAGGGTTTGGGTTTTGAGTTTAGCGTTCCCTAAGGGTCCATGTACCCATCTAGTATATACTTAAACCCTAAAGTTCCTAAAGCTACTAGATAGGAGGCCTAAGGCCCAAGTATATGCGATGTAATACATGGACCCTTATATGGAGTTTAGGGTTTTGGGGGAACCCTCTATCCTGACAGTGCTCCCATCCAGTCAAGCGGCAATTTGCTTGGAATCCGGCGTGAAGCCGTGGCGCTCCTGTTTGCGCTTAGGGTTTAGGGTTTAGTGTTTGGGGTGTAGGGTCTTTGACTTCAACAACGTCGTGGGTGTAGTCCCTGAACCCCTAAATCCCTGGAACCGAACCCCGTAACGCGTTAGCGCTCCTGAACCTTAAAATGCCCCCGAAAATCAAGGCCTAAGTGTACCTTGCTGGGTATCTTAACGGCGTCCTTAACCCTAAACCCTAACCCAAGGGCGTCTGCAGCTATGCGTTTCTGCATTTCGGGCTCGCGGATGAAAGCGATGTGCAGGAGTTTGGCGGCTGGCGGCATCTACCCCCCTACAATCCGGGGCCCTCTTGCCATACTACTTACACTTAAGGGACTTCTACCCTAAGTTAGGATCCTTATAACCCAATTGTTGGGTCCTTATAACACTACTTTTACTAGGGGGTTACCTGGCAAGGGGGGGGGGGGAGGGGGGGGAGGGGGGGCGCTCCTTGTACCCTCAATGGTTCAGGGTTTGGGGTTACTAGGGTTTAGGGTTCAGGCTTAGGGTTGACTCTAAACCTATAGGACGTTGAGAACTCTATACAGCCTCGCCTCCTACCGATCGCGTCATAGGCTGGCTGGCTCTCAGTAGGAAATGACGGAATGAGATACCCTTTACAATCCCTTAAAGGGTGTATATATATATATACATGTAAATATAAATAAATAAATAAATAAATAAATAAATAAATATAAATAAATAAATATATATATATATATTAGGGCCCTATACTTCCCTCATTCCCGACTAAGAACCAGGGGGTACGAGTGTCCTCGTGCCATTCCACAGTGAGCCAGGTGATGCGACACATCGCCCGAGATTTGAAGAGCTCCTTCGTCGCCCCAGTAACCATATTAGAACCAGGGCACTTTCTTTTTTCCCCACCCTTGGTGTGGGATTGTTAAATTTTAAGCTCAACTCTTCTCCTCGCCCAGAACTCTTCTCCTCGCCCGGTCTACTCCTCGCTCATCCCTGGTGCCCAACCCCAAAGTGTCCCTGGAGTGCCCAAACTCTAGAGTGTGCCTGGAGTGCCCAACCTCAGAGAGGCCCAACCCCAGAGTCTCGCTAGGGTGCCCAACCCCAGAGTGTGCCCGGAGTGCCCAGCCCCAGAGCTAGAGTGCCCAACCCCAGAGTGTCCCCGGAGTGCCCAGAATCTCCCTGGAGTGCCCAACCCCAGAGTCTCCCTCGAGTGGCGCCCAACCCCCAGAGTGTTGCTGGAGTGCCCAACGCCAGAGTATCTCCACCAAGAGAGGGTGGGGATGTTCGAAGTAAAATACTTATATTGGTTACTTTTAAGAAGGGAACCCAGAACACAAAAAAAAAAGGGTAAAGGGTACCACTTGGGCCTCCAAGGCTCTGGGATGAGGACGTACTCGGCCCCTTCCTGAGATCGACTCTGCACAGTTTCAGCCCACAGGGGCGTTGATTCTAAACCCTAAACCCTAAACCCTAACCCTAAACCCTAAACCCTAAACCCTAAACCCTAAACCCTAAACCCTAAACCCTAAACCCTCGAATTCACAGTCTCGCGACCGCCACAAGGATCACAGGCTTTGTAGCCCAGTAGCCATACTAAAATAAGGGCACCCTGTTTTGGGGCTTCAAGGATTAGGGTTCAGGGGGTTGGTTACTTGTAAGGGAACCTTGAGCCCAAGGAAAAAAAGGGAAAAGGGTACCACGTAGGCTAGATCACCCTGTCCGGATAAGCCTTCAGGTGATGTCTGCTCGTGACGATCGTCTTGGTGCTGTTATCCCTATCTTCAGCCCACACCGCCACAAGGTCTTGAGGTGTAGGGTTTAGGGTTCAGGGTTTAGGGGTTTACCCCTAAACCCTGAACCCTAAGGCGGCCATCAGAGGTCGATGTCTGAACCCTATAAGGCTATCCTAAGCTAAGCTAGGATGATCTGTACGCCTCAATAACGCGTCTTTGAAGCGCCCCCGTGAAAATATTCCTAAATCTGAGCCTCTTAAACCTATAAGAGAAATTAGACAACATCCCAAGGGCCCACCTGCTAAAGCTATCATAATGGATCCGAAGTATGGGCCCTTAATTTGGATCCCCTGTTATATCGCCCTTATATACACTCGACATAATAAGGGCACATTGCGGATCCCTTTAAATCCCTTTAAACAGGGGTAAGGGACCATACTCAGGGCCCAACTTCAGACATCGGGTGTTGATGTCGATCACCCAAGAAGTAGTCCTAAACCCTAAACCCTAAACCCTAAACCCTAAACCCTCAACCCTAAGGCTGTCAGGTGTCGATGTCAATCTTGAGCAGGATGTCGTTGTGCCGAGAGTGCAGCCCCATCTCGGTGATCCAGCGCGTGAAGTTCCATGCCTCCGTGGTGTAGGAGACTTTGGCCTTGTGGACGTAGTTCCTTAGTTGCGGAGGGTTTTAGGATTCAGGGCTTAGGGTTTAGGACTGTTCAGAACCCCCCCCCCCCCAAAAAAAAAAAAAAAAAAAAGTGCACACTTTCAGTTCTCTAGGTGACTTCAGGATCCCAAAAAAGTGGTAAAAGCGTACTCATTCAGCTACTGAGGTTCTCGTCGTGCTGCATGACCTGCATGGCAACCGGAGACTTAGGCTCTGAGGTTGCTGTGGTGAGTTAAAAGGGCGTGGGCCTGAAACACTTGTAAGGGTGTTTTTGAGGGTTAAACATCCTAAGTCCTACAATCCTACACCCTAAAACTTTAGACCCTTAAAGCAATCCCCTTTAGAGCCTGAGCCCTAAACCCCTACACCCCCAAAACTCCCCCTAAACCCTCAACTCTAAATCCTAAACCCTAAACAGGCAGTCCGGGCGGCGCTCGACGTGCCCAAAGGGTTGCGGCCCTTGACGCTGCGCGCGTTGCAGGGGTGGGCTTCCCGAAACTCCGCATCTGACATTCGCTCGTCTTCACGCGGATCCATATACCTTGGGGACCGGGTTTAGGGTTTAGGATTTAGGGTTTAGGGTTGTGGCCAGCATCCAGCGACCTTGGGCACCAACTGAACCCGACAATTGGGATCTATACTTACAACTTACAACCACAATCCTTGCGAAAGTGTATGCGAGCCCACAAATCTTTTAGGGTTCATGTGGTCCCCAAGGACCCTAAAGCCTAAATCCTAACCCCGAAATTCTAAACCCTAAACCCCAAACCCAGATCCGAAACCCTAAACCCTAAACCCAGATCCGAGTAGCATGGTCATGTTTTCGTCTCGAACCCATGCGGGGTGCGGGATCACACTCACCCGCTTGTCCCGCGAGGCAAGGTCCGTAAGATATGCTCGGACCTGGTGGGGGTTAGGGTTTAGGGTTTAGGGTTTAGGGTTTAGGGTTTGGGGTTTAGGGTTTAGGGTTTAGGGTTTAGGGTTTAGGGTTTAGGGTTTAGGGTTTAGGGTTTAGGGTTTAGGCTTTAGGGTTTAGGGTTTCGGGTTTAGGGTCTAGGGTTTAGGGTTTAGGGCCCCAACTACCCCCTAACAAGGTTCTCAAAAGCATCTTAAGGAGGCCTCTTCGGGCATCTTGAGGAGGGCAACTTGGAGGCTCGGGTTCAGGATTTGAGGCTCTGGGCTGAGGAGCTTAGGCTTGCAAATTGAAGGGACTCGAGGGCCCGGTTGGCCCAGTAGCCATAGTATAAAAAGGGCACCCTTTTTGGGGTTTGGTTAAGTTTAGGGTTTAGGGTTTAGGGTTTAGGGTTTAGGGTTTGTTTGGGGTTTAGGGTTTAGGGTTAAGGGCACCCTTTTTGGGGTTTGGTTAAGTTTGGTTACTTCATAAGGGGTTTGTTGAACCACAAGAAAACGGGAGAGTACCACTGGGGCTACCAAGTATCCCTAAACCCTAAACCCCACACCCTAAACCCTAAACCCTAAACCCTAAACCCTAAACCCTAAACCCTAAACCCTAAACCCTAACCCTAAAACCCTTAACCTAGAAGGGAACCTCAAAGGGAAAATGGGTACCACTGGGCTACCAAGAGGCTAGGGCTTGGTGTTCAGGGTTTAGGGTTTAGGGTTTAGGGTTTAGGGTTTAGGGTTAAGGGCTTAGGGTTTAGGGTTTCGGGCTTCAGGCGCTGGTAGGTGTCGAAGCGTGATACAGGGTGATCCAGGAATGGCTCAACGGCCCTGGCTCGAAACCCTAACAAACCCTAAAGCCTAAACCTGCCCTAAACCCTAAAAACCTAAACCCTAAACCCCAAAGCCCTGAACCCCTAAACCCTGTATAAACCCTAAGCCCGAAACCCTACACTCAACTTGCATCCCAAAATGCCTTAAATGCCCAGCAACACGCGCCTGCAGTCTTCGACTATTACGCATTGCCGCTATGCTAAATCAGAAGGCAATCTGCCCTAAGGGTTTAGGGTTGTTTAGGGTTGAGGGTCCCCAACTACAAGGGTCCATATACCCATATACTTGGGCCCTGAAGGGGTTCCTATAGTAGGCTTAGGGCCCAAATAGATACCCCCCCCCCCCCCCAAACCCTAAACCCTAAACCCTAAACCCCCCAAGGAGCGGACCAAGCGTGGGTTCAACTCCCAGAGGAAGTAGTGGTCGTACTTCTGCGTCTCTGGCCTCTGCTGGCTCTTAGGGTTTAGGGTATAGGGTCTAGGGTTTAGGGTTTAGGGTTTGGGGTTTAGGGTTTGGGGTTCAGGGTTTAGGGTTCAGGGTTTAGGGTTTAGGGTTCAGGGTTCAGGGTTCAGGTTTCAGGATTAGGGTTTATGGTTTATGGTTTAGGGTTTAGGGTTTAGGGCTTAGGGCTTAGGGCTTTTCGGGGTTGAGGGTTTTTTTTTCCGCTTAGGGGTCCCGAACCCTTTCTTCTTGGAATGGGGCTCAGGGATTCTGAGCCGAAGGCCCCCCACTCCTGCACCCTGCGCCTCGTCTTGTACAGGTAGGGCAGTGTGTTGCCACAGTTGGCCTGGGCTGTCGGGGACGCCAATCGTAGCGGATGCCCGGAGATCCATACAAGGGTAGTTCTCTAAATTAGGGTCCTTTTTGGGGGTCCTTTTGTACAAGGGTTGCCGCTTTCTATAGAAGCCCAAACCAAACAGGTACCATAATTTGGGGAACTACCCACAAAACCGAAACGGAAGGTTTCCCACCTAAGCCCTAGACCCTAAACCCTAAACCCTATACCCTAGACCCTAGACCCTAGACCCTAGACCCTGGACCCTAAACCCTAAACCCTAAACCCTAAACCCTAAACCCTAAACGGAAGGTTTCCCGGCGAAGGAGCCCCGAGGTCGATCAGGATGGGCGCGCACTTCCGCAGCGACGTGGGCGCGAGGCCCAGGTTGAAGAAGTGCTTGCGCCAGAGGACCTAGGAGGGGTTTAGGGTTTAGGGTTTAGGGTTTGGGGTTTGGGCTTTGGGGTTTAGGGGTGTATCTCAGGGCTTATAAGGCGCAATATCCCGGATTGAATGAAGTGACTGTTGCCTAACCATACTCAATCCCGCTTCTAATTTGAGGAATCTTCTCTAATGGATCCCCTGCAAACATCATTCAGGGTTTAGGGTTTGACTAAACCACAAACCCCAACGCCAGTACCGTGCAATGAAGGGGTATTCGAGTTCCTGAGCTTCTTGGTAGCCCAGTAACCATAGTTCCGTTTTGGAGGTTGGCTAATTTACAAGGGAGCCTGGACCTGGAACCAAAGAAAGGCTAAAGGGTACCACTGTGCTACCAAGGCGTCCAGATATAACAGCCCTTGAGACCCTCCCGGGCCTGTGAGGGCAGATAGACCGCCAGCTCGCTGTCGCTCAACTCGCCTTTAAAGTTGACCTTCAGGGTATCCTAAACCCTAAACCCTAAAAGGGTTCATAGGGTTTGTAGGGTTTGTGGAGTCCTAAACCCTAAACCCTAAACACTAAACCCTGAATCCTAAACTCTAAACCCTGAACCTAAAGCTGATCTTCGCTGCTCAGGGTTCGGGGTTTAAGGTTCAAGCGGGTTCAGGGTCTTTAGGGTGGCAGGAAAGCTACGCAAAATAAACCCCCTATAAGTGGAAATTGTATGTGCCATCATCCTAAACCCCAAACCCTAAACCCAAAAAACCCTAAACCCTAAACCCTAGACCCTAAACCCTAAACCCTAAACCCCGGATGCCCCGGGGCGCGTGAAACCCCCGGAGGGCGGACAGAAACCCTACTACCTGGAACCCGGTTTACCTACAGCATTTCAGGGTTATATTACCTACTCAATAGGGTTTAGGGTTTAGGGTTTAGGGTTCAGGGTTCAGGGTTTAGGGTTTAGGTTTTGGGATTTTTTCTGGGTTATACCTACGAAATAAGGAGTACTTGCTACGAATCTGTGGGTGAATAGGGTCCCGGGTATCCCATGTCCATACAACCTTAGCAGCCCAGACACCATCTTAGAAATCAGGGCATCCCTTTGTGGGTTGCTCACTTTATCAAGGAGCCTTGAACCAAAAGGAAAACGGTAAGGGTACCACTGGGCTACGAAGTTTCTATCAAACCCTAAACCCTAAACCCTAAACCCTAAACCCTAAACCCTAAACCCTAAACCCTAAACCCTAAACCCTAAACCCTAAACCCTAGGCCTGGCAGGGCTTGCTCTTGCCGGCAAAGTGGGTGAAGACATGCTGCCCCAGCGGCTGCTGGGCGTGTGGGTCAGGATACACCAGGTCCTCACAACGACTAAAAACCTCTAAACTTAGGGTTTAGGGTTGAGGGTTTAGGGTTTAGGGTTTAGGGTTTAGGGTTTAGGGCTTAGGGCTTAGGGCTTAGGACTCCACAAGCCCAACAAACCCTACAAACGGTATAAACCCCTTAGGGTCGGAGGTTTTGTTGCGTCGAAGGCTTGGGGTGTGACAGGTTTGAGGCTTGCAGGGGTTAGGGTGTAGGGTTTAGGGTTTAGGGTTTAGGGTGTTGGGAGTAGGCGGTCTATTCAGCCCCCCCCCCCCCCCCCCCATAATAATCGTGTATAATTCTAAGGGCAAAGAAACACCTTATTGTGATAGTGCTAGTACAGGGGGGGTGAATGATTCACTTCGTTAGGCAAAACGGACGGGTCTGGGGATGTGAAGTGCACGTCTGCGGTTTAAGGTTCAGAGTCTGGGTTTAGGGTTTATGGATTCGGGTTTAGGGTTGAGGGACTCGGGTGTTTGGAGCCTTTTCGGACACCCGGCTACGGGCCTAAATAAGAGGACTGTTGAGCTCAGAAGAATTTCCCTACTTTGGAGCAGGCCCTGGACAAAACGTATATGAAGCAGGGTTGATATTTCTTGTACCCCAAAAGGACACCAAGTACATACACTCACCAATATTAAAAAGGAACCTTATGTACACTCACCAAAAAGAGTCATATAAACCCTGCTTCATATACTTTTAGGTATAAGTAGCTAGAATAGGAAGCCAGACTCAAAAAAACAGCATTAAAGCAGAGTACTCCAAAGCCCAGTTGGGGTTCACAAGTAGGACCCCAAAGCCCAAAAGAAGTATGAACACTCGAAATACACCCCAAGTTGAAACCCTAAACCCTAAAACCTAAACCCTAAACCCTCCTGGCGTTCTGAGTGCCCAATGGCCTTAGGGCACAAACAGTATTACAGTGTGGTGCTCCAAAACCCGGGAATCCTCGGAGAGCTCTTGACCAAGCTGACGCAGCTGCACAAAATAGGTGTACCTCGGCATGAGCTTCCCTTGAGGGGTTTAAGGAGGCATCCCTAGACAGGGCCCTTCATCTTATTCCGTATAACCCCCCTATATAATCTGTACATTTTACAGTCCCTAAAAACCTAAGTAACCCCTAACTAACCCCCAGACAACCCTTTGGTCCCTTGCAAGGGTCCCTCCTTTAGCCCCTTGACTCCCTAAACCCTGAACCTCCTAGGCCCTAAACCCTAAAATGCCCAAAACCCTAAACCCTGCAAAGGGTGAAGGCATAATGGGGGTGTACGAAACTGGGGGACCCCTAAATAGATGCCCAAATAATAGGATTCCCTTGAAAAAAGAATGTTGGGAGACCGGACTGTCACTACTACAGGCCTCTCCCGAAGGTGCGAAGCTGCACCCCACAGCCTCAACTCCTAAACCCTAACCCCCCTGAACCCCTGAAGCCCTGAAGCCCTGAACCCCTAAACCCCTGAACCCCTGAACCCTTAACCCAAGCTGGCTTGGGGTACCTCGAAGATACACCCCAAATCTCAGATCCTTCTGAAAGGAATCCCTGCAAAGGGTACCCCGGCTTTCTGAAACCCCTCCGAAACACTCTCCCGCACTTGTACGTGCCTAGATAATACGTCACCCTTCAAAACAGGAGCCCTTAAAACGGACCCCCAACTTAGAGAAACGACCCTAAACCCTAAACCCTAAACCCTAAACCCTAAACCCTAAACCCTAAACCCTAAACCCTAAACCCCTAAACCCTAAACCCCCTTTTCTGTGCTTTGCTGGGCTGCAGGCCGCCCTGGGTCTTGTCCCAGTGGGTGGCCATGGATGGGTCCGGGATGCCCGAGCTGTTCCAGCCGCGGCTCCGCGACATCTTCTTGGAGCTGTCCTCGGGTTTAGGGTTTAGGGTTTAGGGTTTAGGGTTTAGGGTTTAGGGTTTAGGGTTTAGGGTTTAGGGTTGAGGGTTTCGGGTTTCGGGTTTAGGGTCTTGGAGCTGTCCTTGGCTTTTTGGGATTCTGGGGTTTTTTTGGGACTTCCCAAGCAGCCGCTAAAAAACCTGAGGTCATATATCAGGGTCCCTTCTGTAGTCCACACCTCCTAAAGCCTCCACACCCAAACCGTGCCTATTTGGTCAGATCTGGTACTTTGGGTAGACATGTCAAGGGGGGCTCCCCCCGCCCCCTAGTTATAAGTAGAGTAATAAGTTATGAGGACCCTAAATTGGGTCATAAGGACCGGCAGTAAGGTTTCCCCCTGCTTGAAGCGGCTTCGAAGGGATGCTATGGTTACGTTTTTCGGCTCCTGGCTTCAGCGCCATAACCCCTAAACCCTGAACCCGAAGCCCTAAACTCTCTAAACCTAAACCCTAAACCCTAAACCCTAAACCTATAAACCCCCATAAACCTTATAGACCCTGTCGACCCTATCAACCCAAAGCTGCCTTAAACTGCCTGGGGCAACTAGTAACTAGTTCATGGTTGGGATAGGATTGAAAAATTAAGTTCCTCTTCCTTATAGAAGTTTAAGTACCCTTAAAGCTGTAAAAATCTCTTCCTTATTGGAGTTTAAGTACCCTTAAAGCTGTAAAAATCTTACCCCCCCCCCCCCCCCCCCCCCCCACCGATGACAAAGGCAAGGCTCCAAGTCAAACCAGCTGTAGTGAAGCATCTGCGTCAGCCCCTCCCAGTGGCTCCCGACCTCAGGGGCCGAGAGGGCGAGAGAGGGGGTGTGGGGTGGTGTCCTCAAACCTCGGGTCAGGGTTTAGGGTTTAGGGTTTAGGGTTTAGGGTTTAGGGTTTAGGGTTTAGGGTTTAGGGTTTAGGGTTTAGGGTTTAGGGTTTAGGGTTTAGGGTTTAGGGTTTAGGGTTTAGGGTTTAGGGTTTAGGGTTTAGGTTTAGGTTTTAGGTTTAGGGTTTAGGGTTTAGGGTTTAGGGTTTAGGGTTTAGGGTTTAGGGTTTAGGGTTTAGGGTTTAGGGTTTAGGGTTTAGGGTTTAGGGTTTAGGGTTTAGGGTTTAGGGTTTAGGGTTTAGGGTTTAGGGTTCTCTTTACTGCCTTTAGATTTCGGAGCTTTGGAAGGGTCATCGATTCTTAGAGGTACCTTGCGGGGGGAGGGTGAAGGCAGCCTTATCCCAAATCCTGTAAGTATGACGAACCTCAAAACCTTAAGTTAAGAAAGGGGGGCGGGGGGCAGATCCCTAAACCCTAAACCCTAAACCCTAAACCAAAAAGCCTAAACCCTGAACCCTAAACCGCTAGAACCCTCAACCTGCAGAACCCCCCCCCCCCCTATGAGACTTGTTCTTGGTAGCCCAGCAACCGATAACGGCAATTTGGGGTTGGCTACTTTATAAGGGAACCTAGAACCCAACAAAACGGCTACCAAGTATCTCTAAACCCTAAACCCTCAAACCCTAAACCTGCCAAGCGTTCGAGGACCCAAGCCACATCGAAGACGAAGAGGCCCGAGTTTAGCAGGGATGCCTTCCCGCGGCAGTAGCCGAAGCGGCCCGGGGGCACCTCACTGCGCAGGATCTAGGGTTTAGGGTGTCTTACAAGAGCCTGCTTATTAGGCTGCACCCACCTATCAGGACACGAGCACTAGGTAGCAGGAAAGAAGGTGTGATTGGCTGAGGAATGCGTGGGGCCTTCACACCAGAGGGCGAATCCCTGGCCACTCATCAGGTTTATTTGCTGGACCGGCCTCTTCTAACTTTGTTTTAAGGGTGGCAATTTGGAATTCGCATGTTCTAACTTTTCCTGCACTCCTTCCTGCTCTGCCTTCAGTGACACACACACACATACACACTCTCTAGCCGACTGTCCGACTAGCCGACTGACCGCCTGACTGACTGTGCGCGTAACGATCCGCTACCGTAAAGCCTGAACTCTTTAAACCCGAACATCAAAAAGCAAAGCCCTCAACTCCAAACCCTCACACAATAACCTCAATCCCTAACCTGCACGCAACAACTAACCCTAAACCCGACAACACCAAGCCCGAACCCACCGAAGCCCCACAAGCAACCTGCAAACCCCCAACCGCCCTCACCCTAAAACCTCACCCGTAAACCATAAACCCGAAACCCTAAACCCTCAACCCAACTTCTCCGGGCCGCCTCTGCGAAGATGGCCTCGGGGTTCCGGTGCGCCAGGAAGTCGCAGTCTAAGTACATGGCCTTTTGGGGCGTATGAAGGTTTAGGGTTTAGGGTTTGGGGTTTGGGGTTTGGGGTTTAGGGTTACAGGGTTACAGGGTTACAGGGTTACAGGGTTACAGGGTTACAGGGTTGCAGGGTTACAGGGTTGCAGGGTTTGGGGTTAGGGGTTTAGGGTTGTGGAACCACCGCATGACGGCGTTGCTGGTGCTTGGGGTGCAAGAAGCCCGGGCCCCGACCCTGAGCCAGAAACTTCATATGCCTTACTTGGAAGCCCTTTTTGACTTAGTAAGTAGGCGTTCGTCAGGTGGGTTATGGGATCCTCAGGGGGTTTCTAGGGGGTCCTATGTAGACTGACTAAGCCAACAGAGCTTCTAAGTACACCGCAGCAAAGCCTGCAGCACTGAAGCCCACGGCCCAAAGTTCGGAACCCTAGCCTAGAGCGCTATAACACCCCCAAGACTCCCAAACCCTAAAAGCCAAGATTTCCCTAGAGCCCTAAAGGCCTTAAACACAAAAAAACAAAAACTGAAATCACTAAACGCCTGAGTTAGGGTTTGGCGGGTTTTAGGGAGCTCCCCCTTAACCAACCGGTGCGAACCAGAACCTTTGAGTCCTTCGAGCGGCCATCTCTACATACATGTATGTCTATACATAGATAAAGATGTAGATATAGGTATACAGCTGTAGGAGCAGATTTTACATACATGTATATGTATGTGTATATATACATATTTATTTATTTATTTTCATGTTTATATTAATATTTACATATGAACATATACCCGTGATAAGTAAATAAGTAAACAAATATAAACAAACAAATAAATAATAAAACAAAATACAAATATATATATATATATATATATATATATATATATATATGAACACACATAAATAAATACGAAATCAGGCTCCCTCGACAGGGGTACTGTTTTTTGTGGAGTTCCGTCTTCTTCTTCTGCTTCTTCTTCTTCTTCTTATTATTCTTCTTCTTCTTCTTTTGTGGGGGGCGGGGGGGGGGGGGGGGGGGGGGGAAATAGAAGGAGCACTCTCCCTGTGTGAGCAATTCCATTCTAGGCGCCGTGTATAACTTGGCTACCAGAACTTGTGGGCGTTCAGGGTTTAAGGGCGTTGGGTTGTAGGGTTTAGGGTATTAGGGTTGAGGGTTTCGGGCTTGAAAAGGCGCCTGAGGCCTGTATCTGTCGAGCGTGCTACATGGAAGTTGTGATCGAATGGCCCTAAGCCCCACACCCCCAAAAACCTATAAAACCTGTGCTTTCACACCGTAAACCCTAGACCCCAAACCCGAAACCTTGAACCCAAAACCCAAAACCCTGAACCCTGTGAGTCCCAGCGGCCCGCGCCAGGCCTAGCTCCTGGGCCACTTTGAAGGCCAGAAACCTTCTAGCGCTTTGGGCGAAGTTAGGGTTTAGGGTTTAGGGTTTAGGGTTGAGGGTTGAGGGTTCAGGGTTCAGGGTTTAGGGTTTCGGGTTTAGGTGGTAATACTCAGGTTTCTGAGGGCCCCTGAGTACCATGCAGACCTATCAGACTTGCCCCCCAATTACCCAAGAAACTCCGGCTTGAACTTGGGGAGTTGCTCTACATCCAGATTCAATACTGGAGAAGTAAGATAACAAGCAGGACCGAGGACACAAACTCACCTCAGTAGACCCAAGAGTAACCTAGGAACAGACCCCTGAAACAAGGGAGTACGACCTGCTCAGGGTCCTTGTTGTACAGCAGCGGATCAACGAGGAATCCCTCCAAAGAAGTTTGACACAGCTTCAAGTAGAAGCCCAAGCCGAAGGACTTACTTGTAAGTCTTTGACTCCTAGACCCTGAGGCCCTGAAGCCCGATACCCCTAAACCCGAAACCCTAAACCCTGAACCCTGAACCCTGAACCCTAAACCCTATTATAAACGCCCCCAAACCACCCTACATTGATGGTTAGGCAAGGAACTTGTTCCAGTCACTCTCCTGGTAGGCGGTCGACCTCAGAGAGGGTCGGCGATAATGGCTTGATGATTTGGAGTAGGAATTGTTTACTGGTACCCCGGAAAGGTCAAAACGAGATCCAGTATGTGCACCCACCATAGTTCCAAAGAAAAGACCTACACTCCAAAAAGTGGTAGAAACCCTCAACCCATCTGAGTCGGGGCTTTGGGCCTGGAAGACTGTGAAGAAATTTCGCGTACTGGCTGAGGCCCTAGGCAACCAGAAGCCCCAAAACTCGAAGTAAGCTTTACAGCACAGAAAAACCTACACCTTCCATGTTAAAGCCCAAAAATCCCCAAGCCCAATTGAGCCCCCTAAACCCTAAACCCTAAAGCCTAAACCCTAAACCCCAAACCCCAAACCCTAAACCCTACCTGGGGCTCTATTTTAAAGAGTCACAGGAAAGCCCTGAATCCAACACCCTGAAGAAAGAACCCGAGACGATTCCCACAGCCTCAGCGTCTTGTGGACGCCTCCAGGCACTGATGCTGCGGTGCTCTCCTCGACAAGAATAATTGGAATAGGGTTTTGGGGGGTTACTCTAGTACAACTCTATGGCCACTTTTCGAAAATGTGGTCCCTTTTGGGGTCCTTATTGTAAGGCAGCCCCTCTCAAGTAGGGTACCCAAAAAGGGGCCATGACGTTGAGAACTCACCATAGAGGAACCATAAAGGGAGGGAATGTTATTAGCAAGTTTTCCGACCCCTATAGTACGGCTTGTGGCTCCAGGTTCTGCGCTCTCCAGGCGCTTCAGCCGATGTGCGCGCTTTCCCCCCCCCCCCCCCCCCCCCTCAGAGTACGATAGGGGCCGAATTAATTACCAATCGTGCTCCCTTATGGTCCCCGATAATTCTACTATAATAACCCCCCCCCCAAAACCCCATTCTAACCATTAAGGCCCCTAGAGTACCAAAAGTGCGCTCACTAAGGCACCCTTTAGGTCCCCAAGCCCTGAACCCTAACTCTCAACCTTCCTTGAGGGCAACTGAACCTGAAAATTGGGGTCATGCGCCCTATACTGCTATAATTTCTATTAAGGTACTATGAACCATAACCCTTTTTAGGGTTCATTTAGGTGCTGTATAAGCTTGTATTCTCCGTCTCGCCTTGTAGACTAACTTGGAGTCCGTCTGCTGGAAGGCCCGCCGGTGATATGCCTCCAAGCAGCATGGGGGCTGAACATCTTCACAAAGGGGTCTACCTCGAAGCAGCCGAAACACCTTCTTGTAAGTTACCCAAGGCTTCAGAATCCTATAAGGCTATCTAGTAGTACGAACCTATACAAAAGATGAAGGCTTTGGGGTTCTGAACGTGGGGTTTTGGATTCCCTGTGCCCCGAACCGTCAGACGCCGGGAGCCATCAACAAGAGACTTAATCAGCATACGAACACTCTGTGCGGAACCCATCAAAACGTTTAGGATTTAACTATACCAACTATAGTTTAAGGGACTTCTAACCTCAGTTAGGATCCTTATGACTCTACTTATAACTGGGGGGCCGGAGGGGGGGGCCCTCCTGGTAGCATAAAGTGATGAGTGAGGAGGGTGCGGAGGCCTGGCATTTGATAGCGTAGCTTTATGTGTTGTGAAAGGACTTCGGCCACCAAGACACATGCATCATGAGTTCTTGATACAAGTGTAGGAGCAATCTAAAACATGTCGTATCCAAAGGCGCCAGCAAGAATAGGAGCAGCTCGAGCGCGAGTGTCAGCAGCGGCGCTGGCGAAAAAGAATCCAGAAGAAGAGTAGGGCCCAAATCTTACGAGAACACTGCGCAGCAGCATCACCTGTAGAACGTGACATGCCGAGAGGGAGCAGTTTTGAAGAACATGCTTGGCCGAAACCTTGTACAAGCCCTTCATCGCTAATCACTTCAACTATAAACCCTACATCGCCTAACCCTCAACCCTATAAGCCCCCAACCCTCAATCCTACAAAAACTCTCAACTCTCAACGCCCTAATCCCTATCTGCCCTCAACCTCAACCCTTTAAGCCCTATAAGCCCGGCAAGCCCCAGAAAGCCCAAAAGTCGGGGGGGGGGGGGGGGGGGGGGGGGGGCCTGCAACTGGAAGTCGCCCACGTGGATGTAGACCAGGACCAGGCGCGACCCCGTGGCGCGGATGCTGGAGAATAAGACCAGCGCCTTGCCAGGCTTAGGAGAATCCGATACAGGGGTTTTATGATCATAGCCCTACACCCTAAACCCTATGAAAACAGGGTCCCCATTTAGGGGGTTGGGGTGTACACTAAGGGGCATGTCACACGATGCCGTTCAGGGCCAGGGTTTGGGGTCATGGCATCTAGAGATGTCGGTTGAAACGCTGATGGCCAAAGCAGATGGGCTAACATTCAGCTGCGTTACGGCTGATGCTCTCGAATGTCCTGCATGTCTTTCACGTTGTTGTCGCCGGGTGGTCATCATCATCATCATCATCATCGTCATCATCGTCATCATCGTCATCATCATCGTCACCGTCATCGTTCGTCTGCAGCAACACATTCCCGTCATTGTCATCAGCAGTGGCATCGTCATCATCCTCAAGATGCTCACGATGATGTTGGTCCAAAAACCTATGCCGGAGACAATGCTTGGCTTCAAGCTTGCCCGCCCTAGTTACGCATGCAAACCACATACTCCGAGTCCGCCGCCCCCCATATCAGGCACGCCCTGAATTCCTGGCCATCAGAAACACCAAAGCTGTAAGACATGTATGTGTCTACGCAAGCCCTACGCCGAGCACACCGACTACTGGCTCGCCAGGAGCGCTGCCTTTTGCAAGGTCACACGAACTCTCAGTCCGATGGCCATGACTGCCATCCAAATTTGTCCATGAAGAGCCTTTGGTTCTCATCCATGCCGAGGCCCTGTGTGTGCTTCACAGACCTGCAGACTGTGTGCGAAATGCACTGATGGCGCAGAGAACAAGACACAAGGCAACTCAAGCAGCCGCGCAAGAGCCTTGAAGAGCAGACGTAGAACCGGCACACGTAACCCCAGCACCAGTTGGCGGGAGGACAATCCTGGTTGCAGCAGCAAAAGTACGACCCGACACCGCAGCAGCCGTAGTAGCACCGCAACCAACCAACCTCAAGTCTCCATGCGATGCTCTGCAAATACTGAAGGTCAGACACAAAGATGAGGAGCTTATCTGGACCATCTACCCGGAAAAAAGATCGAAGGCGACACAGCGCGTCTACGAAGGCCGTGGCGCCGTCGCTGGAGACGCTGTTCGAACTCAGGTCAACCTTGGCAAGGCGTGTGCACCCACTCTGGGACAGGGATCTGCCAAGCGCTGCAGCACCTGCATCCGTAATGCTGTTCCCTCGAAGCGATAAGCATGCAAGATCCTGGCATTCCTGCAGTGCAGTCGCCAGGTCAGCCGCACCAGCGTCTCCAATGTTGCATTCAATGAGGCTCAGTCTGGCAATCCTCTTGGACATAGCCTGGAGACCATGCCTTAAGGACACAACGCCCTTGTCCCCCACCTGACTTCCAAAAATCGCCATGAATCTCAAACTCGCAAAATGTGGTAAAGCCTCTCCGAGAAATAAGACATCTTGTAAGGGCAAACTTTCTGCTAAGAGTACGTTTCGGCTTGTGGCCCGCTTCAGAAACACCTTCTCTTGCAGTTTCAGCACGATCTCTGCATCCGAGCGGTGTGTGAACTTCAGCACCAAGCCGCTGGAACTTGTCTCTCCTTGCTTCACCAGCTCTCGGAACGTAGCAGGAAGGATGGGAGCCATACCTTCCACCCAGGTGTTGGTGCACATCCACTGGCATTCAGCGACACACCTATACTCCCCTTAGAACCTAAATAAAAATAATTTGTTTTGAGATCCTCTTGGGTTTTATAGAATTAAACAAAAAATGATTCCCAAGGGGGGTATAGACACCAGCCCCGCAGATGGTAAGGCGTGTCGTTGAGCACCAGCTCGGTGAAAGGTCGAGGCTCGAACTTGCCAGTGCTTTCGGAGTAAATGTCAATGAGGCTTGGCGCGCGCAGCCTCTCAGTCTCAGGTGTGAGGTCAGTGAGGCGTTCTACCGCAGCTACTGCCTTGTGCGCGTAGAGCATATGCATCGACCTCATCGCGCGACGGAAGAATTTCTCTTCCAGGTCTGTGCGCTTGTACTGTGGCAAGCACATCCAGTCGATGAAGACCCAAACATCCTGTCCGTGAAGTGGGTTGCGAAACCTCTCAAGTTTCTCACACAAGCAGCGCAACTGGAAGCGAAAAGGGTCAGGATGCTGCTTTGACTCCCAGCTGTGCGAGACAGATACAATCAGAATTGACTCTGAAAGCGCTCGGGATTTGGATCCTGGCCCCGGCTCTTGATAGGTGGATGTGAACGCAAATTCATAGAAGAACAGCCCTCCAGGTTGTGGTTTAGGTGGGTGTGCACCAGGCCTCAGGCTTTTGTACTCCTCTAGCGTCACAAGAGCCGGAACGGTTTTGCAAAGGTAAGGAAGAAGATGCGTGTCATAGAACTCTTCCTGCTCTGCTTCTTGGCGCCGGGGACATGGCTGATGTTCCCGTGCCAGCTTGCAAAGGAAATCAAACCGCACCAGCCGGATGTTCGCGTAGATGAGAAACTCAATCAGATCCTCCGGGTCATCTAAGTCATACTCCTTCTCATCTTCAGGTGCAAGATTCAGAGCCATGGCCATGGATTTATGGCACACAGCTTGCTGGCGTTGGATACTGCGAAGATCTGCGCTTGCAGGGGCCAGAGCCAAGGGCTAGTCGACGGAATAGTGCACGATAAGGGAGACAAGAAGGGAGACAATGCCAGGGGTTTGGGGCAGGGACTGAGGGAATGAGGTACCCCATATCCCCCTGTTATATACCCTTTAATTTAAGGGACTATATAGGGTACCTCATTCCCTCATTCCCGAGTAACCAACAGAAAGTTTCCCGGGAGGAGGCGTCACAGAAACAACTTGTCATCCCCAAGCTGAACCCTGCAGTTAACTGCTTGGGCGTCGGAAAGCAGGACCATCAGCAACCCTAAAAACCGTAAAAACCCTAAAAACCCTAAAAACCCTAAAAACCCCAAAAACCCTAAAAAAAAACCTAAAACCCTTAACCCCATAACCGTATTCTGCATGTAGGGCCCTAGGCGACTGATGGCCTGGACCATGTCAACCTCGCGATTGCCAACCTGGGTGGGAAGGAAACAGGCAGCCCGAGAGTTGTTTTAGGGCTATAGAGGTGTGAGGATTTAGGGATTTAGGGATTTAGGGTTTCGGGTTTTAGAGGTCTAGGGTTTAGGGTTTTGGGCTTTAGGATTTAGGGATTTAGGGCTTAGCCCCCGCCCCAAAAAAAAGTATACAATTTTAGTTCTATAGGGGATTATAGTATGCCAAAAGGTGTAAAGTGTACTCACTCAGCTAGTAAGTTTTGGGTTTAGGATTTAGGGATTTAGGGATTAGGGTTTAGAGGTTTAGCGTCTTAAGAGGTTTGGGGTTCTAGAGGTTTTGGGTCGTAGGATTTGAGGATTTATGGTTTAGGGTTTAGCGTCTTAAGAGGTTTAGGGTTTTAGAGGTTTTGGGTTTTAGGATTTGAGGATTTAGGGTTTAAGGGTTTTAGAGGTTTAGCGTCTTTAGAGGTTAGGGTTTGAGGGAAAATGGTTTGAGAGGTTCAGGGTGTAGGGTTTAGGGTTTAGGGTTTAAGGGTTTCGGGTTTTTAGGGCTGTAGGGTGGAGGGCCTAAGGGCTATAACTGGAGTGAGTTCGAGGGGCCGACATCAAGTAGCCTCCTATCGGTTGCACAGGGCCAAAAAAACAAAACACACTTGGTCACTTCTCTAAAATGTGGGGTGCCTTTTGGGGTCCTTATTATGAGGCGGCCCCTCTTATTTAGAGTACCCAACAAAGGACCATATGATTAGAGAACTGACCATTTGGTTGCGGGTCTGGGGTTTTACACCCTACCTCGCCCCCTCCTCTCCAGGGAGCTCGTCGAGACACCCCTCCCCCCCCCCCCGCCTCCGTAGCCTTCACGTTGATACATCATGATACTTGCCGGGTAAGCCCGAAACCCTGACCTCCAAACCCCTCAAACGCCCTGAAGCTCAATTCCAACTTGACTGTGCCTAAACCCTAAACCCTAAACTAAAAACTTAAACTTAAACCCTAAACTCTAAACCCCTAACCCCTGAACCCTGACATGCCCATAAACCTCAATTCCGACACTTCGGGCAGGCGGCGCATAGGATGCCCAGTGTGTCCGATGGCCCCGGCGGTGCTGCGGGGTTCGAAGCTCTCGGGGTCTGTCCTGGCGCTGAGGGCTTGAAGTCGTGAGTTTAGGGTTTAGGCTTCAGGCTTTAGGGTTTAGGGTTCAGGGAGGGTTTAGCGAGAGCGCGCGGTCAAGTCTGAGCGACGTCCGTTGAGTGAGATGTGTCACCCCCTACAAAAACATGCAAACAAATCATTTAGCACATGGAGGACAACGCAGCTCGACACCTTTGTATACCCTAAGGGTCCATGTACCTATATAGTATATACTTGGGCCCTAAAGCTGCTATATGGGAACCCCTTTACGGCCCAAGTATAGACTATATAGGTACATGGACCCTTAGGGATACAAAGCCTTCCATCAGGGCATACAGGAAGGTGCGTGACCGGTCCATGGTGGATGGTCTTGGTGTCGAGTGCTGTCAAAACGCCGCAAGAGGGCCGACGTACAGCAGGTTTGGGTTTTAGGTTCAGGGTTTAGGGTTCAGGCTTTAGGGTACACGGTACAGGGTCTTGTGCCCCAGGGTAAGTGCTTGGTATCAGGGCTTTGGTGAACACTTTGGGTGATTTGGCAGTTGGCGCTTGCTGTGGAGCTCAGAAACCCTCCGCCCACGCCCTACCTCTTAGAGCACGTTCAGCCCTAAACCGCAATGTTCCACTCGTAACCGCTTATCCACTCCCGATCTCCGAACTCAACCCTCAAACCCCCTCAAACCCCCTCAACCCCGCAAGCCGTCTACGAGCCCCAAATCGTCCGGGAGAGCGCGAGGCCGCCGATGTAGGCAGGATTTGCGCGCTGGGCGCTGGCTGCGGAGCGCGTGATCTTTGGGCCACCAGGGCCACTGGGGCCACTGGTGTGGCCAGCCGGCCTACGTGGGCCGCCGGAGCCACCTGGGGATTTGGGTTTGGGGGTTCGGGGGCTTTACAACTGTTGGCCCAAAACCCTAACATCAGAGGCCTTAGAGCCTTGGGGCAACTCGGGGTTCGGGAGCTGAGGATTTACGGGAGCTCTGAAAGTGGGAAAGATGAACCTTTGGTCCAAGAGCGCTTGAAATTTAAAGGCCGGCCACTCAGCACCCAAGAAGACGCTGAGCTCAAGGAACTGAGGTTTATTAGGCTCCCATTCCAGTATAGGGATTCGGATTCCATCGATGTGCATAAATCTAAACCCTCTAAATCCCTCTATAAACCCCTCTAAAACCCTCTCAAGCCCTCTAAGGCCCTAAGCCCGAATCGAGAGCTCATCCTGGATTTCGGACACCCAGCCGAGCCCCGAAAATCCAGCTCCCCAAGAATTTCACAAAGTGGAGCGGGGCGGGCTTCGGGGTTTGGGACTTGTCGCCCCTCGACCCTACTCCCTAAAGCCTATAAACCCCAACAGGCCCAGCGTTAATGCCGAAATTCGTTCCCCCAGCTGAGGGCTCAGGGCCTGTAGATTTGGGGCCACTAAGCCGCCTGGGTTCAGGGCATAGGGTTTATATCGGACCCTGTTTACCTACAGTGTTAAGGGTAATCCTTACTCAACAGGGGGGGTAGTTGCTACTCATCTGTAGGTAAGTAGGGTCCCAGGTATAGGGCTTAGGGTGTTATTGTAGGGTTTGGGGTTTCGGGTTTCGTGTTTCGGGTTTCAGGCTTTAGGGTGTACGTTAGGATTTCGGCCGAAATTGTAGGCCCGAGTGGCAGCCTAGACCATCATGCATGTGTACGATGATCAAGGCCCCGTTTCGGTACAAACAAAAAGCGGAAACCTACGGGTTCTTAGTTGGGAATGAGGAAATGAAGAACCCTTCCCCCTAAACCCAAAACCCATTTAAGGGATTCTATAGGGTACTTCATTCCCTCATTCCCTACTCGGGTACTGGGGCCCAATAGGAAAATGAAGCTGGGGCGCTTCGGCGATACCACCACTGGCACCTAGGCAATCCTTAGCCACAAAGAGATTAGGGGTTCAGGGTTTAGGGCTTACAGGGTAAAAGCTTTAGGGTGAAGGGCGCCTGAATACTTGAGTCCGGCGCATGAAGCCAGTCTAGGGTGTAGCATCTATGCCTCAGGAAGGCCTGTGCTTCTGCTTGCGTTCTTGGTTTCACCCGCAACCCGAAGCCCCAAACCCTAAACCCTAAACCCTGATCAGTTTCTGACCAACCTGAGACAGTCCGGGCTTTGGGGATCTTAACACCCTGACCAACGGCCTCCGTTTATGTGCGCTGAAACCCTCAACCCTAAACACCCTAAACCCTAAACCCTGAACCCTACACTGGGGTGCGGGGGTGAGAGTTTCAATGTTAGGGGGGGCCATCGGCCCGTGCAACATTGGTAACTCTGTTCATAAAATTGCTTTGGATCATGAACCAATAGCCTTAAAGCAACCCCAAACCCGAAACTCTGAACCCCAACCCCCAAACCCGAAAATCCAAACCCTCAACGGTTTAGGGTTTAGGGTTTAGGGTTTAACCCGAAACTCAAAACCCTCGACCCCAGGCCGCCGTGGGGCCGGGCTCAGCTCCTGGGCAAGGAAGAAGCCAGCCAACACTGAGAAGGCACCTCGGTTGGCTTCTCCCACCCAGCCAGCCACCCCTCGCACGGGAAATGGAGAGCGTATGGCTCTCGCGCTCCTCTATGTAGGTATGTGTATATGAGCAGCGGTCAAGATTACTTGTGAAGCTGAAGGACATGGTTGTTAGGGTTCTGCAGGTTCTACATCGCATATATTACTCCAAACCATAAACAGATGTCCGTCCCTAATCAACGCTATTTTGCCGGTCGCTCATATATATATATATACACATGTATGTATGTATATATCTGTATATATCTGTATATATCTGTATATATCTGTATTGTATTTATCTAGTTCTTCAGTACGCTTTTGCGTATATACACAAGGATAATGTAGGTTTTCGGGCTGAAAAGGATTTATTCTCCTGTGTACTTTCCATGCAGAAACCCAAAAACAAAAGGTAGGCTACTTCATAGCCTAGGCGCAGGCGAGAAGACACTGCCGCCGTGACACCTTAAGACAGCAGGTGTTTGCCGTTCACCATGGGGACTCATTGCATACAAGCCTATACTTAAATAAACCCCAGCACTCACTAAAGTAAGTTGGAGGCATTCAAAGCAATTTGGGGGATTACGAAATTAGGGGTACCTGATTGGGTCCTTGTACTACGGGAATCCTACTATTTGGGGGTTTAGGGTAGGGGTCCTCCTATTTTCGTAAACCCCCATATTTGTTTTGCGCTTCGATTCGGGTCTGCCCGGCCCAAGCCGTAAAACCTATCCAAATACCGGACCCCTAAGCCCAAACCCCCCTAAACCCGAGCTGGTTCCCTTCAACCCTAAACCCTAAACCCTAAATCTTAACCCCCAAACCCTAAAGCCTAAACCCAATAAACCCTAAACCGAAAGGAACAGACGGGGGTTGAACCGAAACCA